AGTAGTCATAATTTAAAATTTAAAAAAAACATTGTTCGTAGTTTTTTCTTGTATTGTTTATGATAAAAGTTTTTTATCCATACCGCACATACTTTAAATAAACATTATACCGGGTGATCCATCTTATGTAAGACACATATTGTACACACTGTATCACTTAGTTAACATGGGTGCTTGTTATTTATTGTTTGTAAGCACATAAAAACATGTTGATGCAAAGTTCGCTTAACTATATATACATACAAGTACCACCTTGTTTTCTAAACTCTCATCACTTTAAAAATACTTGTCCAAAACTGGTTATCAACCGTTCAATTTTTTTGAACGTTTACTAAATTTAAAAAGCTTATGGAATATATGCGATACCATTTAAGTTTAAAAAGCCGTTTTAAAGAAAAACTAAGTAAGGAAGAGGTCGAACTAAAAAAAATTGTGAAAAATTGAGATTAGGTACAATGTATAAAATCAACATAAAAAAAAATGTAGTTTCTTATTTAACCCTATGAGTTATTAAGTGGCCTATGATTAAAAAAAATCACCCTGTATATATACATATTTGTAGTATTCTTATTATCGCAGAAACCTATAAAACCAAATAACATGTTTATAAAATAAATGTATTGAATATATAGTGATTTATACCTAATACTCCTTATGTCTAATATGACCCCCGCTCAACGATGGCGTTTGTTTTTGTAAATTCAATAACTGGTTAGTAAAACGTGAAAACTACGCTTAAGAATAATATAAAAATGTTAGTCAAAACGACTGAATGTTGCGTATATTACTAAATTCACAAAAACAAAATTACATTGCATTGTATAGGACGACATCATATAGGCAATTCGACATATCTAAAGTAAATCGGGCCATAGTAAAACAAGTTATCGTGTTTCCAGGTACAAAAAAACACACATAATAGGAACTGATGCTAAAAAACCGCTTTGTAAATAAAATAAGAACGTTACGTATACCTATATGAAATTTTAAATGCATATCAATGATGCAAAATTTTATTTAAAATTTTGATTTTCTATCTTTTAAATACAACTCAAGTTCAAGCTATTTTTCATCTTGTAAATAGTTTAAAAAAATATATATATATATTTTCTAAGGACTTTTTCATCCAAAACATTATTGTATTTCGATTATATCATAACTGACTATAGGTGGAATCTGTATTTTTTGTAAATCGATCTCTAACTACACCATCTCTAATTACAACCGATTTAACTAAAGTACACATCTAAAAAAAATTCCACCCAAGTAATTAAAATGAACTCGAATTATCCTAAGATTTATTTTTCCAGATAAAAATGAAAATTTCCTGTATTTTTATATCAGTATTCTGCGTAAATGTCATATCGATGGCAGATATAAGTATAAGTAAGTATTTTATTTTCATACTTACCCACACAAGGTAGACAAAATTCTAAAAAAAATTAATACTAAACTTGTCTTTACAGTGGACTTTATAGAGTTGGTTGAAATTTCAAGTAAGTAATATTTTTTAATCATACAGACTAACTTTGTACATTCTTAAATTTTGCGATTTTCATACATACCTATTTTTTAAAAACATTTACTACAGACGTGCAACTCCGAAAAGCTTCTACATATAAAGTTAAAATTGGTGAAAGTAAGATAATAATATAAAATTGTTGAGCAATGATTACATGTCAAATTATTTGTAAATCAAATATAAGTTTATTTAAGTATTTAAGAGGATGCCATCCATCCATTTTTACGGTATAAAAATAAGAGTTGGCTCTTATGATACAGTTTTTTCAAAAAATGACTAAAAAAAAGTCACCTTTAACACCTGAAAGTAATGAACTTTGACTTTATTATGTTAAAATGTTGTAAATCATTTCCAACACTCAACTTATTAAAACACGAGCGGAGTGGCATCTTTCTAAAGTGGTAGTTTTATATTCTCGATTGAGTCTGTGCACATGGGCAGTCTCTCACATGGGCACGAGCCCTCACTAAAAGTTACTATAAAACACTATGACCACACCTGATTCTAGAAATTGATAATTTACCCCAACAGGTGCAGTCGCTTAATATATAGTGTAAATATTTTAAATGATTTTTATATTAATTTTGATTTTATTTGGAACTTTTCTATAGGTCAAACCCTTGTAGATGGATTGGTGTATGTACTTACAGAAATGATAACTAAAGAACACTATGCAATGAGTAATAATAATTGTGTGTTAACAAAAAAAAATCTTAGTTATAGAAGAAATGAATATAAAAATAAACAAAAATGTATCTTTAACCCTCTCACCGCCATTGTGTTTTACACACTGCAACACGTCCCAAACATCGCCATCATAGAAAAAGGTTTCGTAGTTATTTAATTGATTGAAGCATAATACCATGTCCAGGACATTAAAAGGGTTAACGCTTATGTTCAGTGATAATAATCTTATTTTATCTTGTTCTACTCCCCCATTAGATTAAATTCAGACCTTGTCATATCATTAGGTTTCGAATGTATTTAATATAATAGAGCTAAATATTTTGTTCCGAATTACTAATACACGTATTATTTTTTTTTAACTTTTCTACTTTAGTTTATGATATAATATAAAATTAAATTCAATACCATTATTTTTTGTATTGCTAATTTCAGAGGATTATAATCAAATGTTCATTGTACCGGGTAATAATTCCATAATAATATTTCCACGCAGTCTTTTGGTAATCATTAAGTATACAAAGTTTTCATTTTGATTTCAGAATATGCAGATACTCACAAATATGAATTTCTACAACGTAAACAATTACTATATTAACCTATATTTTACACGTAACTATATGTATAATATTGATTTCTATTACAAGAAAATACATACAAGTTTATTTTATTTTCAAATTTAGATGCCATGTCGACAGAAAAAAATATTTTGCAACCGAAAATATTCGAAACAATAGGTGAATATTTTTAGTAAACAATTTTTAAGTGTGTAATCAAACAATTTACAAAAAGATTATATTAGTACATGTATTAGTATTTCAAACAAATTTTTAAACAATTTCAATGTACATGAAATACGTTTAGGTTCATCAAGGATTAATAGTTCACAAGAACTATTGTGAAAGACAGAATTAATACACATAAAAAAATTAGATTGTTATACGATTTATTATGAAGAATACATTTTTTCAAACGTTGCAACTTGATAGAGATTAATTTTATGTTTATAAAAAGTTTTGCATTAATTAATTAGTCAAAGTTCATTGATTTTTCGAGTAACTATTATAGATAAATATAACAACCTGGTTTAAGTAGCGGTAATATTGTTTAAATTCTTGTTTCAGGTATCCCTGCTGATGAACCTAAAAGTAAATACGAAGTTGTTCAATAGTTAATTAATATTAACGCTATATTTGAAATTGATTAATTGAAACTGTTATGGATAAATACGTCAAACCGAGTTTGAATAACTAAATTGTTTTTACAGGTATTCCGGCGGCTGATGAGAGTAACCAAAGTAATTACAAAGTTATTGACTAGTAGTAGAAAAAAAAATTATGATTTGATTGAACAATCAAATTTTCTTTATACATTATTTTGTTTACACATTATTGACAATTATGTAAGTTTAAAAATAAATATACTTATATTATTATAATGATTAAAACTGGTGTAAAGTATGATTTTATTTTTAGAGTGAACGTAGTATATGTGACTAATATAATAAAATCATGAGGCATCTAAATAACTTTACTACTTTATTGTTCTTCAGGAACTTGCCTATGCCTGCTGATTTCTATATTCGACCAAAACGAAATTTCTCTATTAAAAATTGGCCTCTTCTATATTTTGTTTATCACATAAATACGATAGCTAATCCATACAAGTTACTGGCTTAATCGTAATACTATATTTTGAATTGATTGATTGGTCAAATTTATCTGTTTTTGGATATGTTATATTTTTTTCTGTTATAGATAAATAAAACAACCGGATTGGATTAACGGTATCAATATTTAAATTTTTGTTACAGTTCCTATTATTCCTGCTGATACGACCAAAGGTAATTACAAAGTCATTCTTAAATTATAAATAGAAGTTATGATTTGATTGAATGTTACAACTATTTTTATATAGTTTTTTATTCATAATTTAAGTTATTATAGTTTAACGCACCTAATTTAATTCTTGTCAAAAAATCGGCTATGTTTTAGCATTGAACATGCTCTAGCTATGGCTCTCCAGCCGCTAAACGATACAACATAACGACAATAAATTTCAATACGAAAGTAGCGGGCCTACATTAAACGTACAATAACATATAAGATGCCATCGAAATAATAACTAGGCGTCCTCGTCATGCAAACATACAGCCTGAACATATAACTAAGATTATACTATCGTCATAAATCGCAAAGAGATTGTAGATCAGAAATCATCAACATTCAGGAGCCAGCAGGCTAAAGCATGTTTCATGTTTAATTTTTTTAGCCGTTAAGCTTAAAGTAAACTGTACAATTTTTTTTCTGAATTTACAAATTTAATGTCGAAGTCAAATGATGAGAGAACGTATGCCTATCGTTGTAAATTATTCGATTACCTGCATAAATTGGAATACACTTTTGTCCCCGAATATAATTAATAAAGGATTATGATAAATTATTAATATGAATTTCCTGCCATACAAATTATCATACAATTTTCGCACATCAAATATTATAGCAAGTCCTTCATTTTCTATCTGTGGAAAATTACCCTTAGCGTATAATAATGTTTGGGATACTTTCAATTAAATTTTCAGATAAAAATTTAGATTGCGACAATACTTTTGCTTTCTTACCTTCCTTGCATTTTGCAGCGAAATGACCTTTTTCATTTCAGATGTTTCAGTTGTAGTCCTTGAATCGACAAAATATGCGACCCCATATCCCAAAACTTGAAATTCGCCCGACTATCATCTCGTTTGAACTTGCGTGATTGCCTCTGATCGACTTCGTCCGTCTCCTAATCATTTTTATCTTCTATAGTAGCTTCTTTGGCAGTAACTATTTCTGAGAGGCTTATGAATTTTGTGCTTACTCTACAAGCATCTCTATCAAGTAATTGGGCTTGCTCTTTCTCTGGATCCATACCCTCTACGAAAATGTCACAGACGACAGTAGACAACTCTGACAAGAAATTGCATTTGGATGCAAGGTTTTTGACTATGGCAAGTTATAATTTAAAAGAAATTGCTCCATGTGCTTGGAACGCATAAACTGTATACGATTTTATGAATTTTTTCACTTATTGATAAAAGCAATATAGCCTCTTTTGAACTACGTATACAATTCCGTTTGGCAGAAAAAAATATCTATGCTTAGATTCGAATATGGCCACGTCCATTTTAGGTTCAAATATTCCGTGGTTCCAAATACTTGATACAATTTAATTATTTGTATTGGTTTCAGACATAAGTTTTTTTTTTTTGTTAAGTTCGCCGAACTTAATATACATGTAAATAATTTTTATTTACTTTTAGTTGACAGTATGTGAAATATAGAATTTTCTTAGTCACCCATTTGTTATATACTGGTATGAGAGATAACACAAAACATAAAACTAATAAAAAAATAGTGTTATTCCTATCACATTTTCTTTTGGTCTCTACCAATGAATACGATTCATAGCAAATTGCATAGTGTCAATTTTTCTTGTTTATACTTATTTTTAGCTCAAGTTATTTGTATTATAATTTTCTGTTTCGTATAATGTTACATATTATACATTTTCTATCTTTGTATTATACTTCTTATTATATTGCGTATTTTTCTTCATATATTGTACTTTGTATGTGTTATTTGTGTAATAAATGCGTATAAAGACTTTAAATATCAAAATATAACATAAATACGGATATATTTTAAATATGATATTTTTAACAAGCTTATACATAATTTTATAAAGGTAAAGAAACTTCAAAATGCCCCACACTTGGCGGAATGACGAAAAATATTGTTACTCAAAGTTTTAAAATGATAGGTAAATATAAATTTACAGTTTTAAAGATATTACTTTTTATTACAGCATGATTCTTTATGGATAACATAATCAATTTTTTTTAATTATATTGATAATTTGTGGGTTATTTTTAGAGATACTTTAATTTTTGTATTTTACAGTATTACCCATACATTCAAATTTCTAGAGTGAGGGGGGGGGGGCAATAGCGGCTCTATATTTACACTTTATTCAGCATTGATTAATTGTTATAAACTGTTATAAAAAAAATACTAAAATAATAAATACATACCGGGTTTGACTAACTATGTAGTTGAACTGTTTTTTTGTTATAGGTTGTACTCCGCATGATAATGAAAACCAAAGTAAATACAGTTTTTCGTTAGTAGAAAATAAAACTTATTGCATGTTTAAAAGATAAAATTGTCTTTATATTTTTTTGGTTTTTCACAATTTTGACCATAAAATAAATGTTTAAAACACTTAAATAGAAAATAACTAAATAGAAAAGACAAAATAATAAACATAAAAAAATAGAATATTATAAAATTTAGAGTGATGAAGGCTTTCATTCAAACGTTGCTAGAGAGTTATTTGATGTTATTAATAAATTTAGCTTCGATTGGTAGTTCTATCTAATTTTATTTTTAGAGTGACTGATATGTGTAAATATAACAACTGGTTTTAAATAAGTGTACGATTGTGTATATTTATGTGACAGGCAATCCTCTGCCTGCTGTTTCAAGTACAAGCACTGCCCTGCTAACGGGAAATGCAGTAACTACAAAAATATTGAAAATGAGGTTTTGGTGTTATATTATTTATGAGATTATTCTGCATTTAATTTGATAAGGGTTCATACAGAAAAAACGACATCTTCTGGCTTAAAATTCAATTTTAAAAAATCGTAACTACAGAATGTGTACAAAAATCTTATATTTCCTAGAGCAAAACGCAGTAATTAACAATTCCTACGATATAAAGTCGTATGTACACTGTAGTTACTGCCTTTTCAGTAATGACTCAAAACGTTCAATGCCTTTACTGCATTTTATTCTAGTAACACAACAACTTTGTTGTTATCATTTCCTGCCAATTGTCGTAAGAGCTTCAGTTATCATAATAATTTATACTGATAATAAGTCCCCCAAAAAAACCAACAAAAAAGCTAACCGTGTCATGCTTAAAAATATAGTTGCAATTAGAGTTGAACGAGGACAGTATGATCTTTTATACAAAACTAACCTAACCGATGAAAATTATAGGCGTTTAGACTTTATAAAAAGCGGTTACATTAATCAAGCAGTTTCAATGCCTTCAGCCAAAGTCGCTCCCTGTGGAATTCCACAGACTAAAAGAAATGAAATCCTAAATACTCTTAAACAAGTTCTACTAGAAGACAGGAAATTTTTTTGGAAAAATTTACCTGTTTTTTTAATTTAAATGTTGTAAAAAATATATTTACAGTAATCTTAAATGTCAAAAGTATGAACCCCTTTTTTTAAATTATTTGTTAAAGATTATATATCAAATTTGTATTTTTTTATAATAATTATTATTATTAAAAAAATTAAGTTAACTATAATAATTTATGTACATTTAACCATGTTTATAAGGGTTCCTTAATTAGGTTTTAAGTACTGTGATTTGTTTTTAATTTTTTTTTTTGTATATTGTTCATTGTTTAAAACTTATAGTTAGGTACTCATTACATTATTATTATTATGATAATTTAATATAACAAAATTATGTGATAATTTATAAGACAAAAAGTATTTTAATTAATGACTTGTAAGTGTTTTTTATTTGTACTAATTAATTACTGTAGTTACTGCATTTTCTACAAATAGTGGTATATTATGATATTTATGATACTGCATTTAATATTTGTAACGCCATATGATATTATGTAGATAATGCTAAAGTAAAAGGCAGTAACTGTGTTATTATGTGACAAATTTCAGGAATAATGTATTAATCACAAAATGTATAGTATCTTTGAATTTCTGACATAAATTTCCATCTGTTTCATTCAAAAGGTATACTTACAGTCTTAAACTAATTACAAAAACAATATAAATACAAAAGTTCATTTTCCCGAAAACTTGATTTTTGTAGTTACTGCCTTTCCCGTTAGCAGGGCAGAGCACAAGTAGTTACAAATTTATTCGTTAGTTATAAATGGATTTTATGGCTTGGTTGAACGATAACATTTTCTTTATATATTTTTTGTTTACACAGTAATTACAATAAATATATCCAACAGGTTCGATTAACTACATCATTTATATGTTTTTTTGTTACAGGTTTTTATCCAGCACCTGATGCCCAATACAAAAGAACATACACAGCTACTCGTTAGTAGTAAAAAGAAAATTATGGCTTGTTTGAAAAATAAAATTTGCTTCGTATATTTTTTTATTCACACAACAATTGACTTTAAGTTGGGAAGACTTATTTTAAGGGTTCTAGAATGGAGTATTAATTTAACACTATTTTAAACAAAGGACTAGATAAGAATTGAGCGAATACAGAATACATTTTTGCCTATATCGCACTTTTACTAAAAATACTGCATCCTCTCACGACTACATCACTGTCCGCACTTTTCATAACATAGCTTCTTTACCTTAGCTGATCATCGGAAAAACGCTGTACTCTATTTTATTTGTTCACCCCTTTTAGGCTTCATTAATGCTCCTTATATTCAAATTACCATATATTTTTTCGTTCCTTCCCACTCTATTTGTACTTACGAATATATAAATAAATATTTTATTTTCAAACGAGTTATTCATACATACATTTATACAGGTATTGAAACTTCACGTCTGAAAGAACTTGGAAAGGCGAGAAGAGATATTACTGGAAATGTTATAATAAATGTACTTACCCAAAAACTAGGTGATTATATATATTGAGTATTGATGCTTTTAACGACATATATTTTTTATAGCATGAATCATTATTGATAACTGCATAGTTTATAGGCTACTTAACACGACCAATATTTGTTAACTTATTAAACATTTTTGGTTTTTCTTTTTTGAGACACTTTAGTTTTTGTTATTTTATAATATTTACATTAACATACATAATATTTAATATAACATTTAAATGTTTTTGAAAAGCTCTAACAACTAGAATAAGTTGCTTAAAGTTACGAGTCGAGAACGTTTCCATGAATTTTCAACTCGTTTTTTGGGTTTTCTAAGCGTGTTTAGGGGTTCCCGTATTAATTTTAGATATTTTATGTAACATTTTTCAACTTTCTAGAAAAAATTCTTAAATTTTGGTCAACTCAAAAAAAAACAAATTTATAAATTATAAACTCATTTTTAATGACTCTAATACTAAAAATAAAAAAAAATAAAATACACAATTTTTTCCAGGAAGCTGACATTTTTTCAATGATACATATTATATAAATAATTGTATAACTTGTATTAATTACATTTAGTATTTGAAGGGGTCAATAGATAAAGGTATTAACTAACATTTTTTTCGAAAATGCATTTTATTGCATAAATAAAAGGGTTATAGTGTCATAGTATAGTATAGAGTATCTCTAGACCGATAGTTTTCCTCTTATAAGTTATTTCATTTATTGAATATACAAAAGTTTCATAGCTTTCGTTTAATATTTAGTTACAAAAGTCGCGTTCATGAAAAATTTCAAAAATTTCAGTTAACACCTTTATCCACTGAACCCTTCAATTGTGTCTTGCACAAAAAAGAAAAAATGATAACTGACAAGTTAAATATGTCAATTTTTAACAACTGTTTTTTTATTTTTTAGATGAGTTTATCTCGGGTGGCCAGAAGTATCCTGTTCAAAATATTTGTGTTTTGATTGGAATATGGGTTAGTCTAAAAATGACTTCAAACACGTCTGTTTTAAACACTGGTGATGTTTGTGAAGTACAATTACTATTAGGGGATAAAGTTAGTAATATTGTAAAATACAGACCATTTAAATACATATATCACCAAGTAAAAGCAAAGGACATTGATGGTCGAATGGAAACACTAACTGCACAACTACGAGATAATTTAAGTATTCCACTTAAGTTTAAATAATAAATAAATACATTTTTCCCATTGCACTAACTTATTTTATATTGCTTGTATTTATTTATTGTTATTGTTATGTGGTATTGTTGTTTAATTATTATTATTATCTTTATAATCATCAGCTGTTTGTCATATGCAAAATAAAATAAATAAATTCTAAAATAAACTCACGATTTGAAACATATTTGTTGTGGTTTATTATTATTATTATTGCGTACCTATGGTTTTATTTTTACCGAAAGTAGACTATTCATGACCTAGATTTGTTACCTAAGAGGGAGAGGATAGTAAGCTCTCGCCAGACTTTACAGGGTAATTAATTAAGGATAAGACACTCATTTTCTCGGAAGATATAAATATTTTAAACAATATTTGTTTCCAATACTTTTAGGTACATATTCTACTAAATTTTTACATCCCTTATTCGTAAAAAAATATATAAATGTGTTATTTTTAAATGGAAACACCTATATTTAATTCCATATATTAGTATGGAAAAAATAAAATAAAATATTAGCGTTTGAATTTTTCATTTTCATTTATCAGTTCGTTTGCTATGACTTAGTAAAGATATTATATTTCTCTTAATTAATGCCTTATTTCTGAGGTGTATCAAAAACCAGTAGCACGTACAACCAATATTTATGCTCGTATTATCCGATAACCGTCAAAAACCAGACGGCAGATAAGCAGTTTTAATCTAACTATTCAAACATACTGGGGGATGAAACGGTTGACCATAAATAAACTGGTATCAAATCTGTGGCATAGTGATTTAACCACAGCGACCATAACCGTGGTATTCACGCAACAGCCTTATAACATATATTTTTGACTATTTTTTTTTTTTATAAACACGTTGCCGAATTATTACAGATTGTAGCTGTAGCCGCCAATGATTGTGCATAATTGTTATCACAGATTTTATTAGTTCAACTATGTGAAAATTAAGTCAACAATACGATTTTTCAACACAAAAAATAAAAGTTTATTTATTCGTTTTTGTAATTAATGCTCAAAATGTTGTCAATTCGTATCCAAACAAAGTGATAACCGTTTTTTTATTTCATCAGTTGTTACCTTTTTCAAAATCGTGTCCGGTACATATAAGCATATATGTTTTATTCTATTTTTAAAGTGTCTACATCAACTATGGGGGTTTTATAAACCTCGTTCTTTAGGAAGCCCCAAAAATAAAAATCCATGACTGTTAAATCAGGTGATCTGGTATACCTTCGCTCTTCGTACCCATCCATCGACTACCAAATGTATTAGATAAGTAATTTTGCACAGTTTTCGCACTTTGGGCTGGAGCTCCGTCCTGTTGCCAAAATATATTTAGCCGCTTCTAGCGGTAAATTTTCCAAAAGTGATGGTAAATCATTTTTCAAAAGCTCTAGATATTTCCTAGCATTAAGACTACCTTGATAAAAATAAGGATCAATTATATGACAGTCAATGATGTCACACCACACATTGACACTTCAACGCACTTGAGTTTTATTTTGCGAAATACAGTGAGGGTTCGTATCGCTCCAGAAATGTCTGTTGTGTGAATTAACAGTACCATTATTATAAAACTTCGCCTCATCGGTCCACAATATATTTAACAAAAATGACGGTTCTTCTTTCAATTTAATAATTATTTTGGCAACATACTCAAGACGACGTTCAAAATCACTAGTGGTTATCAAGTGGTCTATGATAAAAAAATCACCCTGTATGTACACATATTTGTAGTATTGTCATTATCGCAGAAACCTACAATATCAAATAACATGTTTATAAAAAAATGTAATGAAACTAAATGAAACATACCTAATACTCCCCATGTCCGTATGCCCCACCGCCTCAACGATTGCTTTTGTTTTTGTAATTTCAATAACTGGTGACTAAAAATTTAAACTCGGCTTCCGAACAATGTAAATATGTTAGTCAAAACGGAAAATAAATATGTTGCTTATGTTAATAGTATTCGCAAAAACCATTATTCTGAAAAACATATTTACATTGCATTGTTTCGGTCGACATAACAGATTCTATTCGACAATTGTAAAAAAACCTTTGAAGCAGTCGGTTTAACTAACATTGAATTTGTTTAAGTAAGTAATATTATCAAAACTTCAAAAACTAATAGTACACTTTCGATATATTTCTCTGATTTTCATATTTTTTCAGCACATAGACCTTCGATAACATTTAATCCACTAGTCCTATTTCACTATACACCTAGGTCATAAGTAAGTAATATAATCAAAATTTTATTTTAAATAAATTTTCATATCAAATACCAATTATAAAAAATTAAACCATGCGGAGGAGCGTAGAAACATTAAAATTTAGATTTGAGGTTATTTGAGTATAGGGGCATGGCTGAAGACATTCTTTACAATTTTGACTCGATTCAACAGTTTTAGTTATAGAAAGTTGAAAAACTGACAACTTTTTTTTATAGTTGTTTTCCGTTTTTGTGGTGAAGAAGTTGACTTTTTCTACTTTTGACTCACCAAAGTCACTAAATCACATATAATTTCGGATATCTAACGTAAATCGGGCCATAGTAAAACATAGTATTGTGTTAGCAGATACAAAAAAACACACATCATAGGAATTCTACTAGCTCGGCATCGATGCTAAAAAAACAGCTTTGTAAATAAACTAACAACGCTGCAAAATATGTTTTTATTTTACTGTATTGCCGAAATATGGACAACCAAAATGTAGGTAGAAGTAGAACGTAGTCGTAATTTAAAATTTAAAAAAAACATTGTGCGTAGTTTTTTCTTGTATTGTTTATGATAAAAGTTTTTTATTTATACCGTACATACTTTAAATAAACATTATACCGGGTGATCCATCTTATGTAAGACACATATTGTACACACTGTATCACTTAGTTCACATAGGTGCTTGTGATTTATTGTTCGTATTCACATAAAAACATGTTGATGAGAAGTTCGCTTAACTATATATACATACAAGTTAGCTAATGTTTATTCTATACAGATTTTTTTTTATCAGTGCATGAGGAAATGTGGAGTGTAGAATTTTTTTAACTCCCCGAATTTCCCCCAACCCTCCTGTTTTTCCACCCTGTTTTCTAAACTTTCATCACTTTAAAAATACTTGTCCAAAACTGGTTATCAACCAATCAAAATTTTTGAACGTTTTCTAAATTAAAAAAGCTTATGGAATATATGCGTTACCATTTAAGTTTAAAAAGCCGCTTTAAAGAAAACTAAGTAAGGATGAGGTCGAAACAAAAAAATTGTGAAAAATTGAGATAAGGTACAATGTATAAAAACGACGTAAAAAAAAATGTAATTTCTTATATAATCCTATGAGATATTGAGTGGCCTATGATAAAAAAAACACCCTGTATGTATACATATTTGTAGTATTGTTATTATCGGAGTAACCTATAAAAACAAATAACATGTTTATAAGAAAAATGTGTTGAAAATATAGTGATTCATACCTAATACTCTCCGTTTCTGATATGTCCCACCGCTTCAACGATGGCTTTTGTTTTTGTAAATTCAATAACTGGTTAGTAAAACGTTTAAATTACGCTTAGGAACAATGGAAATATGTTAGTCAAAACGACCGAATGTTGCGTATATTACTAAATTCACAAAAACATATTTACATTGCATTGTATTGGTCGAGATCATACAGGCAATTCGATATACCTAAAGTAAATCGGGCCATAGTAAAACATGTTATGGTGTTTTCAGATACAAAAAAACACACATAATAGGAATACTAGCTCATCACTGATGCTAAAAAACCGCTTTGTAAATAAAATAACAACGTTACACTATACAATGGTTATACTGTATTGCAGAAATATGGACAAACATAATGCACTTAAATTATAAATGCACATCCATGATGAAAAATTGTACTTAAAATTTTTGATTCTGTATCTTCAAAATACAACTCATGTTCAAGTTATTTTTCATCAAGTGCTTTTAATTAGTCATAAAATATAATATATATATATATATAGTTAATTATCTAAGGACTTTCTCGTCCAAAACATTGCAGAGCGTCGAAAGTATAGGTTTTACTCTGATGTGGGCTTTTTTTTTATCTTTATACACTGTAACTTTTTTAATACTGAACCAATTCCTTCGAGTAGCAACTCTATAAATCACAAATTTCATCTAGTTGGTACTTTGTTGGGGGGGGGGGTTAAGGTTAAAAAAGTTTACTTCTTCAGATTCGAAATTTGGAGAAAAAAAACCGTACGAGTTTTTAAGTTAGAACTTTTTCTGGCTATAATTTCGAGAATACGAGTCGGATCGAATTGAAATGTATAAGAGATATTTTTTTAGTATGCTCGCACACGTCACTTGTATCAATATTAAATTAAATCCGTTTCCCAACCCCCTAGAAGGGGTTCAACTTTTTTTTAGTTTTTTAGTCGTAATTTTAGGACCTTTAAGTTGAAAATTTGTCAGTAGTTAGAACTCATATGTATTCATAACATATTAAATGGAAAACAAATTCGGCACTACAGTTTTTTTTTTAATTGACGGAAAACTGTGTTTTTGCAAATCGCGTATATTTTAACAAAACGTCTAAAATCTTTAAAAAAAAACAGTACACTGGGGTCGGGGCATAGTAGGAACGGAGAGGTCACAGTTTTACAGAAATATTTAAATCTGAAAGTGATAAAATCACTTTCAAAAAAACGCTTCGATGCAAATAAGTAGATAGTATTTTCAAGCCTGTACAGTCCAAACCAAGCACAGTATAAACCAGCAAAGTTAGATAGTGATAAATTGAGTTGCAGTATTTACAAATAAGCATAAAAGCGTTTTTTTGAAAGTGATTTTATCCGAGAGGGCTATTACAGTAGAGTATAGGCATAATGAAATCAATGCAACGAGGAGACGAAAGGTCACCGATCTACAGGATTATTATAAAGAAAAGTGATAAAATTAAATAAAATCACATACCAAATAAACGCATTGATGCTTATTTGTAAATACAGCACCTCAATTTAATACTTTCTAACTTTGCTGGTTTATACTGTGCTTGGTTTGGACTGTACTGGCTTGAAAATACTAACTACCGATTTGCATCGATACGTTATTTCTAAAGTGATTCTATCACTTTCAGATTTAAAAATTTCTGTATAACTGTGACCCATTATGCCTCGACCCCTTTGTACTGTTTTTTATAAATACATCTAACTGACAATAGGTGCAACCTGTATTTTTTAAGAATCAACCTCTAACTACACCGTCCCAAAATACACCCGATTCAACTACACAATACATTTAAAAAAAATTCCATTCAAGTAATTGAAATTAACTTGAATTATCCTAATATTTATTTTTCCAGATAAAAATGAAAACTTCCTGTATTTTGATATCATTAATCTGCGTAAATGCCATATTGATGGCTGATATAGGTATATGTAAGTATTTTATTTTCATACTTATCCACACAAGGTAGATAAATTTCTATGAAAAAAAAAATAATTAGCTTTTCTTTACAGTGGACTATATAGAGTTAGTTGAAATTTCAAGTAAGTAATATTTTATAATTATACTGAATAACTTTGTTATTTCTTAAATTTTGCGAATTTCATCCATAACTATTTTTTAAAAACATTTACTACAGACGAGCAACTCCAAAAAGCTACTGATTCTAAAGTCGCTAACGGAAGTAAGAAACATTTTAATATACTATTAAAAAATTGTTGTGCAATAATTGCTTAAGTGTCAAATTATTTGTAAATTAAATATAAATTTATTTACATATTTATGCGGACGCCGCACATGCATTCTTACTATATAAAAATATTAGTTTGCTTTCATGGTACAGTGTTTCCAAAAAATAACTTTAAAAAAAAGTTACCTTTAACACCTGAAATTTATGAGCTTTGACTTTATTATGTTAAAATGTTGTAAATAATTTCCAACACTCAACTTCTTAAAACATGAGTGGAGTGCCATCTTCTTAAAGTGGTAGTTTAATATTCTCGATTGAGTCTGTGCACTATCGCACATGGCCACAAGCCTTCACTAAAAGTTACTATAATTTACTATGAGCCCACCTGATTCTAAAAATTGACTATTTACCCCAACAGGGGTAGTCGGTAACGTATGGTGTATTTTTTTTAATGATTTTTATGTTCATTTTGATTTTAATTGGAATTTTTCTATTGGTCAAACCTTTATTTGTTTGTTCTAGAGGGATTGGAGAATGTACTTACAAACATGATAGATGTAGAACACTATAATATGAGTAATTATAATTATGTGATAACAAAAAAAAAATCTTAGTTTTAGAAGAAATGTATTTAAAAAAATACAAAAATGTATCTTTAACCCTTTCATCGCCATTGTGTTTTACACACTGCAACACATCCCAAGCATCGCCATCCTGGAAAAAGGTTTCATAGTTATTTAGTTGATTAAAGCATAAAAGCAAGTCCAGGATATTAAAATAGTTAACGCTAATGTTCAGTGATAATAATCTTATTTTACTTTGTTCTACTTCCCCATATTATTAAATTCAGCCGTTGTCATATCTTTAGGTTTCAAATGTATTTAATATAATAGAGCTGATTATTTTGTTCCGAATTACTAATACACATATTATTTTTTCTTAACTTCTCTACTTTAGTTTATGATATTATAGAAAATTAAATTCACTACCATTAATTTTTGTATTGCTAATTTCAGAGAATAATAATCAAATGTTCACTGTACCGGGTAATAATTCCATAATAATATTACCACGCAGTCTTTCGATAGTCATTATGTATACAACGTTATCGCTTTAATTTCAGAACTTGCAGATACTCACAACTCTTACCTTCTACAAGGTAATCAATTCTTACTTCTATGTATTTCAAATTCAATATTTATAATGCTTCACAAAGAATTACATTAACAATATTAGTTTTTCATACACAAAAATATGTACATAATATAAGTTTATATTATTTTAAAATTTAGATGCCATAATGACAGAAAAAAATACTTTGCAACCGAAAATATTCGACATTATAGGTGAATATTTTTAGTAAACAATTTATTAAGCGTGAAAGCAAACAATCTACAAAAATATTAGATTAGTACATTTATTGGTATTTCAAACAAATTTTACACAATTTTTTATGTACATGGAATACATTTAGGTTCATCAAGGATTAATAGTTCACAAGAACTTTTGTGAAAGACAATTTATTATGACGAATGCATTTTTCAAACGTTGCCACTTACTAGAGATTAGTTTTATAATTATAAATAGTTTTGTATTAATTAATTAGTCAAATTTCATTGATTTTTTGAGTAACTATTATGGATAAATATAACAACCTGGTTTAAGTAGCTGTAATTGTTTAAATTCTTGTTTCAGGTATCGCTGCTGATGAACCTAAAAGTAAATACGAAGTTATTCAATAGTTAACGCTATATTTGAAATTGATTAATTGAAACTGTTATGGATAAATACGGCAAACCTAAAATAATAAATTATTTTTACAGTTATTCCGGCGGCTGATGAGAGTAACCAAAGTAATTACAAAGATATTGACTAGTAGTAAAAAGAAATTATGATTTGATTTAACAATCAAATTTTCTTTATACATTATTTTGTATACACATTATTAACAATTATGTAAATTTGAAAAAAACTTAAATGATTAGTTGGTGTAAGTAATTTTATTTTTTGAGAGACTGTTATGGATAATACAGCAATTGGGTTCAAATAACTTTATATATAATTTATATTTATGTTCCAGTAATACCTATGCCTGCTGCTACAGCCAAAAGTAATTACAAAGTTAATTTAGTAAAGTTTAGATGGGAAAGATTACTAACATAGTAATTATAATAACTATTATATTTAGGGTAATTTTTGGAAAGGCGTTTATTAATTTTTTACATTTTACCACAAAATGCAATTTTTAACGTAATAGATTGTTGACGTTTTATGTTAACAAATACTTATTATATATATAAATACTTATATGTATATATATAAACGTAAACGACATTTATATTTTCATTAGTATTGCTTTGTCTGCGGGCCATTGAATCCTACAAACTAAAGTTATTTTATTTCTTGACTGTGCTCATCTCCTTGGTTATTATGATATTTTTCAGGAACTGTAAATCTTTCTTGCATGATTACTTACTTCGTGGTAAAACGAGTTTTCTCTATTAGAGATTGGCCTCTATATTTTGTTTATCACATTAATACGATAGCTAACAGGTGCATACGAGCTATTGGCTTAATCTTAATACTATATTTTGAATTGATTGTTTGGTCAAATTAATCTGTTTTCGGATATGTTATGTTTTTTTCTGTAAATAACAAACAGTGTTATGACTGAAATCGGATTAAATTACTTAATTGTTCATTTTTTTTCCTTAAAATGTCTGTTATTTAAAATTTGTTTTCCCTTCCCAATACCTATAAAAAATAAGGAGCCGTGGACAGTATATTAGTTATGTGTAAACATCTTATTACAGTTTTTGCAGTTTTTAATATAAACTCCACAATCATATCATATATTCGTCCCTTATTCATACAATGTGTTTCTGGAGTCTAAGGAGAGAAGGAGAAAACTTCCTGACCCAGATCTATATAAGAATCAATAATTTATACAAACAATTTTTCCGTTGATTCAAATTTGTAATTTATCATATGTAATAAATTTTAATGGAACTTTTTTAAAATACAGATACTTATATTAATATATACTAGGTTCTACTGTGTATTTTTCTTCATATATTGTACATTTTATGCGTTATTTGTGTAATAAATGCGTATAAACACTTTTAATATCAAAATCATATATAAATACAAATATAATTTTAAAAATTGTATTTTTAACAATCTTATATATAATTTTATAAAGGTAAAGAAACTGCAAAAGGCACCAAATTTGGAGAAATGGCGAAAAGTTATCTTACACAAGGTTGTAAAATATTAGGTAAATATAAATTTACAAATTTAAAGATGTTTCTTTTTATTACAGCATGATTCTTTACGGATAACACAATCAATTTTTTTTTAATTATATTGATAGCTTGTGGTTTTTTTTGGTCGATTCTTTAATTTTTTTATTTTACAGTATTACACATACATTTAAATTTGTTTCTAGAGTGGGGGGGGGGCAATAGCGGCTCTATATTTATACTTTATTCAGCATTGATTATTGAAACTGTTATAAAAAAATACCAAAATAATAAATACAAACCGGGTTTGATTAACTATATAATTGAAATGTTTTTTTTGTTACAGGTTGTGCTCCGCATGATAATGAAAAGCAAAGTAAATACAATGTTATTCGTTAGTAGTAAATAAAACTTATTGCATGTTTAAAAGATACAATTTTCTTTATATTTTTTTTGTTTACACAATTTTGACCATAATAGATTATTATAAAATGCAAAGTGATGAAAGCATTCATTTGAACGTGGCTAGAGATAATATTATGTTATAAATTAATTTAGTTTCGATTAGTTGGTCTAAGTAATTTTTTTTTTAGAGTGACTGATATGTGTAAATATAACAACTGGTTTCAAATAAGTGTACGATTGTGTATATTTATCTTACAGGAAATCCTCTGCCTGCTGTTTCAAGTACAAGCATAAGTAGTTACAATGTTATTCGTTAGTTATAAATAGATTTTATGGCTTGGTTGAACTATAACATTTTCTTTATACATTTTCTAATTATACAGTATTTACAATAAAGTATAATTTATTTGGGTTTAATTAATTACAAAAATCTACTATTATATTAAAGTATTATAAATTAAATAATACATATTGAACGGTGTTAATATTTTTTTAACATTTCATTCAAATACAATAATTATAAACATAGGTAACAATTATTTGTTGTCAAGACGTTTAAGTTTAAAAATACTTGTAACTTGGCAGATACAATTCTATATTTGAATCATAGCATTAGTAACCCACTCGCGAACAGTTCGGTTTCTTTTACTATTTTTTCAGACGTCCTCAACGGACCACTGTTGTCCTCTATATTTTCTTAATTTCATTAAAGGGATTTTTGCAAAAATAAGAAGTTCCTATTGTTTGCAGAAGACATTAACATCTTATTTACGCATTCTCTATACTTAGAGATCACTTAAATGCGGTAGCTAAAAGGGTCTTAAAAGACATGGATTTTATGTTAATACTATATTTTGCATTTATTAATAATTGTTCATTTTATTCTCATTTTTATCACTGTTATGGATATATATCAAATAGGTTCGACTAACTGTATAGTTAATTTGTTTTTTTTGTTACAGGTTATTATTCTGCACCTGATGCCAAATTCAGAAGAACTTACATAGCTTACGCAGCTACTCGTTAGTAGTAAATAGAGCTTATGGCTTGTTTGAAAAATAAAATTTGCTTTGTATATTTTTTTATTCACACAACAATTGACGTTAAGTTGGGGAGACTTAATTTTAGGGTTCTAGAATGGAGTAGTAATTTAACAATATTTTAAACAAAGGACTAGATAAGAATTGAGCGAAAACAGAATACATTTTTGCCTATATCGCTTTTTTACTAAAAATACTGCATCCTCTCACGACTACGTCGCTGTCTGCACTTTTCATAAAACATAGCTTTTTTACCTATGCTGGTTTTCCGACCAACGCTGTACTCTATTTTATGTGTTCATCCCTTTTAGGCTCCATTAATTCTCCTTATATTCTAATTTCCATATACTGTTTCGTTCTTTCCCAGTCTGTTTGTACTTATTTGGACATTAAATTTTAAAATTAATTCGAATATATTAATAATTATTATATTTTTAAATGAGTTATTCATATATACATTTATACAGGTTCTCAAACTTCACGATTGAAAGAACTTGGAAAGGCGAGAAGAGATATTACTGGAAACGCTATAATAAATGTACTTACCCAAAAACTAGGTGATTACAAATATTCAGTGTACAGTGAATTATTCGTTTTACAGTGTTATGGATAACACAGTATTTTTTAGGCTATTAACACAAACAATGCTTTTTAACTAATTAAAAATGTGTGATTTTTTTTTCGAGACACTTTAGTTTTTGGTATTTTATAATGTCTACTAACATACATAATATTTTATATAACATTTAAATTTTTTTCAAGAGCTCTAACAACAAGAATAATATGATGAAAATGTTACTAGTTTTGGATAATTAGTTTTGAATTAATTTTTCCTCCCTTCCGTTATGTTTATAACTTTAAAGGGAACTATTTCCAAAGAGTTATCGATCACCCAAAATTATCTTAAACAGAAAATTACCCTATTTGTATTCATAATTATTTCAATTATTTTGATTACGGTGGTCGCATTTTCCAGTTTTTTCGACTTTTCCATGAATTTTTACCTTGTATGAATTTTACACATTTAATGTAAAATTTTTCAGTTTTCTAAAAAAAATTCTTAAATTTCGGGCAACTAGAAAAAAAACAAATTTATAAATTATAAACTCATTTTGAATGACTCTGTTACTAAAAATAAAAAATAAAAAACATTATTTTTTCAGGAAGCTGAGATTTTTTCTATGATACATATATAAAAATAATTGTATAACTTGTATTAATTACGTTTAGTAGTTGAAGGGGTCAATGGATAAAGGTGTTAAATAACATTTTTTTCGAAAATGCATTTTATTGCATGAATAAAAGGGTTATAGTGTTATAGTATAGTATAGAAGATCTCTAGACCGATAGTTATCATCTTATAAGTTATTTCATCTATTGAATATACAAAAGTTCCATAGCTTTCGTTTTATATTAAGTTACAAAAGTGGGGTTCCTGAACAATTTCAAAAATGTCAGTTAATACCTTTATCCACTAACCCCTTCAATTGTGTCTTGCGCAAAAAGGAAAATTGATGGCTAATAAGTAAAATATGCCAATTTTTAACAACTGTTTTTTTATTTTTAAGCTGAGTTTATCTCGGGTGGCCAGAAGTATCCTGTTAAAAAGATTTGTAAATTGATTGGAATATGGGTTAGTCTAAAAATGATTTCAAACACGTTCCCTACAAACAATGGTGATGTATGTGAAATAGAACTATTAGGGGATAAAGTCAAAAAAATTGTTATGTACAGACCATTGGACGGCATATATTGTCAAATAAAAGCAAACGACATTAATAGTGGAACGAAAAAACTAACTGCACAACTACGAGAGAATTTAAGTATTCCTCTTGAGTTTATATAATAAATAAATACATTTTTCACATTGCACTAATTTATTTTATTTTGCATATATTTATTTATTGTTATTATTATGTGGTATTGTTGTTAATTTATCATTAATATTAACATTATTATCTTCATAATCATCGGATGTTTGTCATATGCAAAATAAAATAAATAGTTTCTAAAATAAACTCTTGGCTTTAAACAAATTTGTTGTGAATTATTATTATTTTTATTATTATGGCGTACCTATGGTTTTGTTTTTACCGAAAGTAGACTATTCATGACCTAGATTTGTTACCTAACAGGGAGAGGATAGTATGCTCTTGATAGACTGTACAGGGTAATTCATTAAGGATAAGACACTCGGAAGATACAAATATTTTAAACAATATTTGTTTCCAATACTTTTAGGTACATATTGTACTAAATTTTTAAATATTTTAAATATTTTTAGGTACATCCCTTATTCGTAAAAAATATATAAATGTGTTTTTTTTTTTAAATGGGAACACCTATTTTTGATTCCTTATATTAGTAGGGAAAAAATAAAATAATTTATTAGCGTTTGAATTTTTCATTTTCATTTATCAGTTCGTTTGCTATGACTTAGTAAAGATATTATATTTCTCTTAATTAATGCCTTATTTCTGAGGTGTATCGAAAACCAGTAGCACGTACAACACATTGCCGAATTAATACAGATTGTAGCTGTAGCCGTCAATGATTGTGCTTAATTGTTATCGCAGATTTTATTAGTTCAACTATGTGAAAATTAAGTCAACAATACGATTTTTCAACACAAAAAATAAAAGTATATTTATTTATTTTTGTAATAAATGCTCAAAATGTTGACAATTCGTATCCAAACAAAGTGATAACCGTTTTTTATATCATCAGTTGTTACCTTTTTCAAAATCGTGTCCGGTAAATTAAAACATGTATATTTTTTTTTTTTTTTATATGTGTCTACATCAAATATAGGGGTTTTATGACCTCGTTCTTAAGGAAGCCACAAAAATAAAAATCCATGAATGTTAAATCAGGCGATCTTGCTGGCCATTGTATACCTTCGCTCTACGTACCCATCCATCGACTACCAAATTAGATAAGTAATTTTGTACAGTTTTCGAATTATGGACTGGATCTCCTTCTTGTTACCAAAATATATTTCGCCGCTTCTGGTGCGGTAAGTTTTCCAAAAGTGATGGTAAATCGTTTTTCAAAAACTCTAGATATTTCCTAGCATTAAGATTATCTTGATAAAAATAAGGACTAATTATATGACAGTCAATGAGCCCACACCACACATTGACGCTTCAACGCACTTGAGTTTTTTTTTGCGAAACACAGTGTGGGTTCGTATCGCTCCAGAAATGTTTGTTGTGCGAATAAACAGTACCATTATTATAAATCTTCGCCTCATCAGTCCACAATATATTTGACAAAAATGACGGTTCTTTTTCCATTTTAATAACTATTTTGGCAACATACTCAATATGACGTTCAAAATCACTAAACCGCAAGTGCTGAACAGAAGTGTATCTGTAAGCAAGAAACTTATTTTGTTTCGCTATACGCTGTACAGATGAGTAATTTAACCCTAACATTTCCTTAATGAAAATATTAAATAACTAATGTTTCACTTTTCTTATATATTTGTTTCAACATTAGTTTGACTTTTTGTCTTTTTACATTTGGTTTATTTTTCCAAATGTAAACTACCCGCAAATACCATGTTATTGTGAAGTCGCGCAAACATGGAGTAATGTGGACATGGCCGATCCTATGAGATATTAAGTGGCCTATGATAAAAAAATGACCCTGTATGTATACACATTTGTAGTATTGTTATTATCACAGAAACCTATAATACCAAATAACATGTTTATAAAAAATGTAATGAAACTAAAGAGATTCAAACCTAATACTCCCCATGTCCTTATGCCCCACCACCTCAACGATTGCTTTTGTTTTTGTAATTTCAATAACTGGTTAGTAAAAATTTAAACTCGGCTTCCGAATAATGTAAATATGTTAGTCATAACGAAAAATGAATATGTTGCATATGTAAATAGTATTCGCAAAAACAATAATTCTGAAAAACATATCTACATTGTATTGTTTTTGTCGACATAAAAGAGTCTATTAGACAAGTCGTAAAAAAACCTTTGAAGCAGTCGGTTTAACTATCATTGAAATTGTTTAAGTAAGTAATATTATCAAAACTTCAAAGTTCGTTTAATTGTACACTTTTAATATATTTTTCTAATTTTCATATTTTTTCAGCATATCGACTTTCGATAACATTTAATCCTCTAGTCCTATTTCATTATACATCAAGGCCATAAGTAAGTAATACTATCAGACTTTTACTTAAAATTAATTTTAATAGCAAATACTATTTTATTTAAATTAAATCCTGCAGGGAAGTTAAGTTTTATTGAAATTTAGATTTGAGGTTATTTGTGTATAGGGGCATGGCTGATAAACATTCTTTACAATTTTGACTCGACTCAACAGTTTTTCCCTAAGTTAAAGAAAGTTGAAAAACCGACAACTTTCTTATAGGTTTTTATTGTTCTGGTGGTGACTTTTTCTACTTTTGACCCACCAAAGTCACCAAATCACATATTATTACGGATTCTTAAGTAAATCAGGCCATAGTAAAAAATGGTATTGTGTTAGCAGATACAAAAAAAACACACATCATAGGAATTCTACTAGCTCGGCATCGATGCTAAAAAAATAGCTTTGTAAATAAACTAACAACGGTGCAAAATATGTTTTTATTTTACTGTTTTGCCGAAATATGGACAACCAAAATGTACATAAATGTAGAACGTAGTCGTAATTTTAAATTAAAAAAAAATTGTTCGTAGTTTTTTCTTGTATTGTTTATGATAAAAGTTTTTTATCCATACCGCACATACTTAAATAAACTTTATACCGGATGATCCATCTTATGCAATTTTTTGTCTATATTATTATGGAATAAAATCCATGTTTCCATTTGGCAAAAACAGGCCATCTTCTTACACGTATAAGGGATAAAATTAAAAATTCTCTAAGTATTGAAAACTATGGTAAAATATACAACCACCTAAATTTAAAGGAAAAAATAATTTTTAAACATTTTATATTTTTTAAAAAACTGAGTGTCTCTTACCAGATGGATCACCCTGTATTATATTATAATAAATTAGCTTAACAGTGAGTCCAAAAAGCGTAGCGTACTGTACTAAATGTTGTTAGAATGTTACAAGTGGTTTATGAAAACATTATCATAATAAAATGTATTTGGCTTCAATTTGAATTGTTTTTAGCATTGTAGTGTATGACATATAGCACTTATTTTAGCGCAGTGATCTATATTTTAACTCTAACATCGTTAGAACGCTGAACTCATAAAAGCGATGTGTTTTATAAACTACTGTATTGCGCTATAATTATGTATATATATAAAAGTTCACACTGTATCTATTGGTGCTTGATGTTTTATTGTTCTAAATCACATATAAACATGATGATGCTAAGTTAGCTTACATTTATATACATACAAGTTAGCTAATATATATTATATATGCAGGGTGTAATGTTAAGTTCTACCGAGCTTCAAATAAGACATTCAGGATGCTCTATGGGTACAATACTAAATGCGACAATACCAACAATACCATGCGTCCACATTGTAGATACAAAAAAATCATGTTGGATATCAATTCAACAAGATTTTTTCTCCTGATTTCAAATCTGCAATTTTTTCGTAAGACTATATTTGAATGAGATCAAGTTCTATTTTAAAATACTTTTTAATTAAAAAAAATTAAAACCATTTATTGTACCCATAGAGCATCCTGAATGTCTCATTTGAAGCTCGGTAGAACTTTACATTACACCCTGTATATTATTAATAGATAACAATGAAAATTATAAGTATATATAATTGTGGTATTGTTATTATCGGAGAAACCTATAAAAAAAAATAAAACGTTTATATAAAAAAAATGTATTGAAAATATAGTGATTCACACCTCATACTCCTTATGTCTAATATGTCCCCCCACCTCAACGATGGCTTTTGTTTTTGTAAATTTAATAACTGGTTAGTAAAACGTTAAAACTACGATTAGAAATAATGTAAATATGTTAGTCAAAACGAACAACGACTATGTTGCGTATGCTAATAAATTTACAAAAACATATTTATACTGCATTTTATAGGTCGACATCATATAGGCAATTTAAATACGTTTATCTAAGAATAATATACACAATTATATTTCATACTTAATATACTAAACATATGAATCCATGTTTCTTTATAGTATTTAATTTTAAATCAACTTTAATGCCAAGTACCAATTTCTTAAGATGGAGAAAGTTAAAGTTGAAATGTTGAAATTTAAAAATCCGACAGTTTTTTTGAGATTTTTCTCGGTTTTGTGTGTGAATAAGTAGATTTTTTCAACTTTTAACTCAACTTAAACTAACTTTTAACCAACGTTATAAGGGATGAGGTTGTATTCTTCAAAAATATAATTAATTTTTCCCATCTAATAACTTAAAATTATCTGTTGCTTATGTTAATAGTATTCGCAAAAACAATTCGAAAAAACATACTTACATTGCATTGTTTCCGTCGACAAAAAAAATTCTATTCGACAAGTCGTAAAAAAGCCTTTGAAGCATTCGGTTTAACTATCATTGAAGTTGTTTCAGTAAGTAATATTATCAAAACTTCCAAAGTAGTTTAATTGTACACTTTCATTATATTTTTCTAATTTTCATATTTTTCAGCATATAGACCTTCGATAACATTTAATCCAATAGTCCTATTCCATTATACATCAAGGCCATAAGTAATTAATACTATCAGACTTTTACTTAAAATCAATTTTAATAGCAAATACCATTTTTTAAAAATTAAATTCTGCGGAAGAGTTCAGAAATATTGAAATTTCTTTACAATTTTGACTCGATTCAACAGTTTTTCGCCAAGTTATAGAAATTTGAAAA